CATTGTTCTTCGGTGAGTATTGTGGGCTTTTTCTCTTATGGGTTCATGTTCGTTGCCTCTCTCATGTGATTTTGGGTGATGTTGTTGGGTTTTGCCGCCTCTTTTCTTTGGTTTGTTCGGACATTTTTAGTTTTGGGTTTGCTTTGATTTTCATCTGTTTTTTTTTTTGTGCATGGTTATTTTATTTTTTGTGTAGTTAAATTTCTCAATATTTATTAAGATTGGATGCAATTTCTAACTAGATAGTGCATTTAGGTTTTGAAAAATTGATCTCTAATGTTTTATGCTCGCTCTGGATTGGTCATTTTGTTCAGAGAGTAATTTTTATCTCGGTGTTTTTGTGTTGTCTTCGGTTGACTTCTTTGATGCCCTCAGTCTCTTTGCCTTTCTCATCTTCTTTTCTTCTTTGGTTTTCTGGTTCGGTGTTTTTTGTCTCTCCCTTGTCGTTGAAGGCCTGCGTTTTCTTGCCTCTTTGACCTCTTCATTTTCTTTGTGCTTCCCTTACCTCCTTTCCCATCTCTTTATTTTCTCGGATATGCTTATGGTCTTTCGGCCAATGTCGTGTATCTTTTCTTTGGTGTATTGATTTTCTTCCCTTTTCTTATCTGATTTAGGAGGAAATTGTGTGATTTTATGCTTTCCTCCTCTTGTCTTTTTTGATTGTGTTTATTTACTATTTTAGTTTGGTTTTTTCCTGTCGTTTTAGTGGATGATGCTTTAATTTATTTATGTTTTGGTGCAGGTGTCTTTGATGTTGGTTTGCTTTGTCATTTTTTCTTTGATTTTTCTGTTTTTTTAGGACATTGCATCTTCAGGTTTCTTTTTCCCACTGTTTTTGATGTCTTTTTCTATGGTTTTCCCTGTTGTTTGCTTCCACGCGTTATCTGTTTAAATTTTTCAGTATTTGACAAAAGTGGATGCAATTTCTGATTAGATGGCACATATGTTTATGATTTTTTTTTTTTTTGTAATTTTCTATTTTTTATCTTGATTGGCCCTTTTGTTAAGACAGGGTTCCTTATGTGGGTGCTTCCGTGTTGCCTCCGCCTGATCTTGATGATAAAGATCCTTATGTGGATGGTTTCGTGTTGTCTCTGCCTAATCTTCATTTTTTTCCCGTATTTATTGAGTTGATTATCTGTGATATTTGCAGTGCTCATTTGTCCTTCCACGTTCATGATTTGTACTGATCCTGCTACAGAGGTATTAAATGAATCCTTGATTTTTTTCTCTTTTTTCTGCATTCTGTGAAATGGGTTAGAAATTTAGGGAAAAAAATTATTTTGCTTTGTCTCTTTTTTTTCTACCTTCTTTTTTTCTTTTCTCTTTTCCTTGCGCTGGGATAATTGTTATATTTACGTTTTCTTTCTTTTTTCTTGCTTTTCTTTGTAGTGCTCATTTATCCTGCCATGTTCATGAATTTTACTGATCCTGCTGCAGAGCTATTAAATGAATCCTTGATTTTCTTTTCTCTTTTTTTCTGCATTCTGTGAAATGGGTGAGAAATTTTGGGAAAAAAATTATTTTACTTTGTCTCTTTTTTTTCTACCTTCTTTTTTTCTTTTCTCTTTTCCTTGCGCTGGGATAATTGTTATATTTACGTTTTCTTTCTTTTTCCTTGCTTTTCTTTGTAGTGCTCATTTGTCTTGCCACGTTCATGATTTGTACTGATCCTGTTGCAGAGGTATTAAATGAATCCTTGATTTTTTTTCTCTTTTTTCTGCATTCTGTGAAATGGGTGAGAAATTTTGGGAAAAAAATTATTTTGCTTTGTCTCTTTTTTTTCTTCTCTCTTTTCCTTGCGCTAGGATAATTGTTATATTTACGTTTTCTTTCTTTTTTTTTGCTTTTCCTTATTCTCGATAATGCATTATTTTTATTATTTTGTTAGGGAATTTTCGTTGTTTACATTTTGTGAACCGACTTTGCCTTCTTACGTGTCCTGTTGTTAGAGGCTGTCCATTTAGTCCGTCGTTCTCTATTTAAGAATGTTACTGCATATGAATCTAACATACATATCCCTGTTTCTTTTTCTTTCATTTGGCCTCTTAGTCCCCTATCTCACCTCGCATCATTTACTGCTCTATTACATTGTCCATCATTTACTGCTTCATCCCATTTACTCCTTTATCTTTGTATCTTTCACTCCTTTATCTCTGTATCTTTCAGTCCTTTTGCTTCTGTTTGGTTGGCTGATATTTTAGACTTAAAACAGTCTTTATACCATTTCAGGTACTGTTAATAATCTCTATCTACAACTATTTAATCCCTGCTGTTGACATGGATGTATTGATTTACTATATCAGTGAATATATGAACATCATGTATAAGGTAAATAAAACAAAAAATGGAACGAAATAATGAAACGTGAACAACAAAGATCAATACTACTTTGGCGAAGTCATAGATAGAATATCAATATAAAAAGTTTAAAAGTTATGGGTAGAGATTGATAATAGTAGGTAAAACTTTTGACATATTCAGTTTCATAACATTTATCTATAGATTGTTACAAGTTCCCTTGCCTTCTTTGGAATATGCTTTTATTCATTCTTCTTAACTCAAATATTTTGATAATTTCTTCTTTGTTGTACTTACTCATTCTATGCTTTTTGCCTTTTTTGTTTTTGTTGCTTCATTAAATAACTGTATTTACTTCTATTAGTTTCATTTTTCTACTGTTGAAGCCTCATTCTGCAATTTTATTGTTATTGCTTCATACAAAAAAAAAAAAAAAAAAAAAACATCCTTCATCCCTTTTTGACATATATTATTATTTTTTTTAAATGTAGTCCTTATTGATGTATTACCTCTATTCTATATATAGCTTTAACGCATTTTAGTCTTGCAAAGTTCTTTTTTGTGGCAATGATGATTATAATTAATGTTTGCGTATTGAGTTTTATGTAATTTGTTCAAAGATCGCCGTGAATATTTACTTCTTACTTGGAATCAGCTTTTATTTGTTATTTTCGACAAAGCTTTTTGGATATGTCCTCCTCTTTTTTAAGAAAAAAAACTTATTATGCACCTTTTACCCTCTTAGTATCTATGGTTTTATTAAAAAACTATTTATACATATGCTACTTCTCTTTTTCCACTACTAAGCCTTTGCTTGCCCATTTTCCTGTTTGGGAAAAAAAAAAAAAAAAAAACAAAAAAAACAAATTGTCCAATGTTTTTCCCTATTTACCGTTTCATTCAAGACCTGTTTGTACATGCAATAGCTTCCTTTTTCTATTGCTGACCTTCCGGTTCCTTATTCCATTCTTATCATTTCATACAAAAAAAATTCCCTCCACGAAAAAAATAAAAAGACAAGCCTTATTATTTCATTTCGATTCTCTATTCTATTCATCACCTTTTTATTCCTCTATTTGTTGTTGTTTACTACCTATCTTTTCTCTATTTTTCCTATTTTATTTTTTCAAATAATCTGTGTTACACTATGCCTTTCATGTTGTTTTCTTCTCTTTTCGGCCTTATCTTTAATTCACTTGGTTGCCTTTGAACAACTTTACATATTATTCAAGCTATTTACGTTGGTGTCGTATGCAAATTATACTTTGTGTGATTGATACAATTGGTCATCCTTTTGTGCAGTTGCCCTTAGTAGGCAGCCACAATGTGTGATTTATCACACATTGCTGAAAATATTGAATACCTGAACCACCATTCTTACATAAACATACTATCATATTTATATTTATTGATTTTTTCAGTTCTTTTTTTTTTTTCTTTCCATTGCCGTGGTCACTGTATTTAGTCACTCATTTATTTATTTCTATTTCACAAGGTTTCTTAATTCATTATGTTTCCATTAGCTGACACTGTTGTTGATATTCAATCCGTTCATATCAACCACTTTAGCCAAAATCTGAGAGCTCCACCTACTTTTATCAGTCTCTGGCCATAACTTTTAAATTTTCTATATTGATATTGTATCTATGACTTTACTGGATCGGTAACTTGATTATTTGTATTTTCTAAGGTTTGCTACTGCTCATTGCCCTGTTCTGGTAGTTTCTCTATATCGCTCATTGCTGTTGAAGTTTGGTTCGTTGACATTCCGGGCTTAACGCGGGATTTATAGCGCTTGAGGTATCCCTAATAATTTCTTTTCACAGCTCTTTAGCCTCTGTTACTCACACTGCAAATATTAGCACGCTACGGTTAATGTTAAAATGAGTTGTTTTTAGCCCTATGAATAAATAATGTCAATAGAAAGCGTTGGGCAAGATTCTCTTTCGTTCTCAAAGGATGTTAGTAAGCTTTTTTTTTACTTGCTAATGATTATTATGATTTGATCTTATACATGTACTAGAACAGACCTAAAATCTACTATCCACGTAGATCCATGTTAATGCTACTTTTTAAGTTTGTTTTTTTGGCTGGCTTATTTACTCATTTGTAACTTGGAACACTTACAATGGTGCCTTGACAGTTTTCTTCCAAATTACTCAATACTTCAAACTTATTCTTTGAAATTCCAGTACCTGCAGATAAGGAAAAGCTAAAAATTTCAACAACTGTTCAGAATATAGTTTTTAGGACGAATTAAACTGTGAATTTCCTAGTCTACTCTGCAATCATAATTCAAAAGACGTGAAGTCTTCAATAAGTCCTAGACAAAACACCAGCAATAAGATATGAGAAGACATCATCACTCCTGAATTCATTGAGGTCACAAGAAAGTTGCGAATAGAAAACCACAAAAACCTCGCGCCTAGCTGTCATTTATTTATCCCAAATCTACATATCTAAATCAACAAGTTCACCAGGAATGGAATAGAGTCCTTACCAAGAGTATGCTTGCTTCCATGCCTCCTATCAGCAATCAACTTCCGCGTAGATCGACCATGGCGGAAGTCAAACATACTAATCAAACCCCACATACATCCTGATTGATCTTTCTCAAACCGCACCGCGCGCCTCTGGGATCTCTTGGCACCCATAATGAATCGAGGATTTCTTTTCCTTCGTTAAAACTATCTTATTGGGGTTCTTTTTATAAAAAAAAAAAAAAAAAAAAGTGTTCCTTACTAATCTGAGCTGCATGAGAAACAATCAACAGAAATAGAAAATTGTACAGACATCAGTTAAAAGAATAGTTTACAGAAATATAGTCCTCTTCCAAAAACATGAAAGAGAAAGGAAAACAAAGTGGATTTCCAATCAACAATAATGGATCTCATTGTAAAGGGAAACCAAAAGCATTAAAATAAAATCAGTATTTCTTATTTGATTCATGTTTCTATTGACATGATATCTAATGCAACTGCGTAGAATATAAGTGTTTCCAAGGAAACAAAATGATGCAAACTTACAGCTAATGGTGTTGAAAAAAAAAAAAATAATAATGATGGACCCAAATAGCCCTGATCATGAAAAGTAGAGTAAAATAAAATAAAATAAAATGGTTTTAGTACCTGGGATAGAGCTAAATTCCTTATGCCTTGAACTCACAATGCTGTTAGGATAATCTAGTACAGGAGTCAAGAGATTCCAATTCCAAAATCCCAAGCTTTCAAGCAGAGTGAAGTTCACGGCACCAAGCCTTTCCTTGGATGTTAAGGCATCAGAAATTCAAACCTTCTTTTCTTCTTTACCTCCTTTAACAAAAGCCTTGAAACAGCTCATCACATAATTTCTTCACAAAAAGTTGCTGCCCAGATAGCCAAACCTTTTCAACTTCCAAAATCAGAAACTGGGTCAGGACCAGAAATGTGATGAAAAGCTTGAGAGAGAAGAAACAAGTTTGCCTTCAAAAACAAAAACCCAAATTCCACAATCACAAATCGGATCCAAATTCCACCATTTTCTGAACACATAATTCCAGAACTCAAGGAATGATTTTTTTTCCCAAGGAATGATTGTTTTTCCCTCCATTTTGGCTAGTAAAATCACCTTTAATTGAATGAAAATCCACTTTGAAGGCTAATGCTTCAACCATAGAGAAGCCAAAGCACGCAAACTGAGAAATTTAACTCTCCAAATTGTACCAAAATAGATCCTTGAAAATGACCCCTCTCCGTTACCAAAATAAATCTCTACAAAAACTCTAACAAAAGGACTCCCAAGAGAGGAAAAAAAAAAAGCCTTTATATGGTTCTTCAATGTCAAAGTTTCAGCACCAAACTATTGGACGCAAATTTCTTTTTTTATATATATATTTTTTCCTGACAAAAGAGGCCAAAACGCAACACTTTTTGCAAAGACCCGGATCAAATTTGTACAACGAATTCAACAAAAACAAAAACAATTAGCTGCTCAGAAACAGACTTCTTTTTCAGTGGGTATCTTTTTTTTGACAACCAAAAAGGAGGAAAGAGTCAGATGCCCCAAAAAATGCTTATCCACCACCGACCCACTAAGTTTTTCGGCAGAATTTCTACTTCTCATACATTACGGGCAGCCATTAAAGACTGTAGAAAGTGGAAGAACAAGAAGAAGAAGAAGAAGAAGGGGGAGAAGATGAGAGGAGAGAGAAAGGCTGAGATGGTGGTGATAAAGTGAAAGTGAAAGAGAAGAGCTTTACAAAGATGTTGTCGTTGTTGGGTAACAGTGTAGAAGAATACGTGACAGTTGGGGTAGAAATAGAATTGATGGGGTCCATCTTTGGAGAGAGAAAGGGAAGAGAGAGAGAGAGAGAGAACTTTATAGGGAAGAAAAGTTAGGAGTGTTTCTGTCTTTCTCTCTCTGCATTTTCTGATATCTCCTGATCTACTGCAGTGGTTCCACGCTCAAACATCATCAAAGTCACTTCCTTTCTCTCTCTAACTTTGCAGGCCATGGCCATGCCTGTCTGGTAGAGAAAGTGTATAAGGATTTGACGTGTACACTACTTGGTGGAGGGAGAGAAATTCTGAGTTAGATAACATAACATGAGAAAATATTTTTATTTGTATAAATAAATAACAATAAAAAAAATCAATTCAATTCCATCGTGATCGTATGTACTAATGAACACTCATCATGAACCAATCACAAAATAAAAAATCGGGAAAAAATAATAAAGAAAAACTTGAACAGTTAGTTTTTCATTAATTTCTCTTAAATTTTAATATTTTAATATAAATTTGATGTAAATTTTCAAGATAATTTTTGTATAATGGGACGCTGGAGTCCTGCAACATTAATAAGATATTTTTTGTTGCTAATATTTTTCAAACTTAATAGTAAAAAAATTTTAAAACTAATAATAAATGAGCTTCATAAATATAAAAAGCTTTTTACATTTTATAAATAATGCTGCTAGAATATAAATTAGAAGGCAACATTTTGAAAGAGTTAAATTTGTTTAAGCCAACTAAAAGAAAATAAAAGAAAATAAAAAAACCATCATGCGTCTCTCTCCCATAGTCCTTCTCTACAATATTCTTTGCTATGGTCTCGAATGGTTTTATTACTACTCTCCACCTGAGCAGTCGTTCGATCTCTAGCCTGGGAGGGACGACGTACAATTTCGGTTTTGCAACGGAGAGGACTGCTAGTGGAAGACGACCGCTTAGGTGATGGTGGTTCACAGCAGCCGGAAGTAGGAACTTGGTTCATCAATGAGAGAAAGTCCTTTTGGTGGTGGCTTTAATTCTATGTATTTTGCTTGTTTTTATTATATTCTCCTTTAATTCGCCGATTTGAATTTTTAATTCGAATTGAGATGTGCTTTATGTGAGAGCTTTTAACCATAACATAAAAAATTAAATGTGACTTTTTATAAGAGCTTTAATTATAACAAAATTAGAATTAAAAACTCAAAATCGGTAAAATGAACGATAACTATGTTTATTTTCTTTAATTTGGTATTAGTGTGTATTTCTTTCATTTAGAATACAATTATCTTTTTTAAAAAATATATATATAATAGTAATATTTATTATTAATTTCTCTTAGAAGACAGTTTGCCTGTAGTCTAAATTTTTAATTATTAAATCTGGTCAAAATCATATCATATTAAAAAAGTATATAAAACAGATAAATTTTAATACATATCTAAAAAGTAATAAATAGACCACTAATAGTCTATTTATAACATTTATTTCAACTAAGTGGAATTACCATTTTTATTTATTTATTTTTTAAAAAAATAATGTAAATAGTGATAAATATAATTGTTCAGTCAGCATTATGGTATACTATCATCATGATTATGAATAGTGATAGTTAACTTTTAGGTTTTTTTTTAATACAACACGGAATTAAATTCATAATCTCTCACTCAAACTTTAGTATTATTAGACCAAGAGGTCTTAGGATTTAACACTTTTGAATTTAAATGTTCATTATAAGAAAAGATATTATTACAGAAACAAAATATGAATTTTATTAGTAATCTAATTAAAGATTCATTTTTAAAAATGCTAACAGTTTCTTTAAACTTTGTCTAGACTCTAAATTCTTGATTCAAAAATCACCTAAATTACTTGATCATGAGCAAGCAATTGAAGCCCTCACTCATTATCCCATATAATAACGTACTAGGTCTACTAATATTTCACAAAACTTTAGTAACCCAATATTCAAATAAAAGTTCATTTATCTGATGAATAAAAAACATGTAAGTTCATGTCTGGAAATGCGACATCCAGTATCTAGGAGTTAGACTGCTAAGTCAATCTACATGCATACCCTAATTTTAAAAAGGGTGGTTGTATCTACAAACCCTTTTTTACTCTCCACAATTCTCTCTCTTAAATTTTTTTTATGACAAAAAGACTCTCACATACAATGACAAAAAACAACAATTATGACATATTTAATTATGTAATTAAATTTCATTAAAAAAATTAATTATATAGTTTTTATCTCTCTCCACACACCTTACATGTTATACCCTAAATTATAAACAATTGTTATTTTAAAATTTATAATAAAAAAAAATTCTGATTTTTACCTTTCAATGAGTATTCCAAAAAATTACATTAAATTTTCTTTATTATTACTTGTATGCCAATTCTTCTTTTGTCTTTTTTTTTTTTCATTTCATATTTATATTTTTTTACTGATCTTTGTATTGTTCGATCAATACCTCAATTGATTTTATTGTTATGTTTCCGTAATACTCATATTTATGTCCTTTACTTTTCTAAAAATAATGTTACAGTAAATTTTCTTTATTTATGACAAAAGGCTTCACACCTAAAAGTTCAACAACAACAAAAAAATGCAGAGGAATAAAGAAATAATAATATTTATATAACAAATTAAAATAAAATAGTGGGTGGGAAAAGAAAATTAAAGTGGATAAAAATTAATAATTTTATGAAAATAATTAAGGATAATCTTAGAATAATAAGGTGTGTAAAAAATAAATTAAATTTTTTTAAAATTATGTAGAGTGTGTATTTAAAAGGAGATGTAGAGAGTAAACAAATAGATGTGAATAGAACCGCAATTTTAAAAAACCGGTGGTGCTTAGGTTGTTATTTTCCTCATTCAGTGCTCGACACGTTTCTATTATTTTCAGTATTGATTGTCGTCTATTAGCTTGAAGTTTTTATTATTGTGTTTGTGGTTGTTTTTCCCTTTTTCTATTTAATTCGATTTGTCTTGGGTTAGTACTAACCGGAGAAAAAAAACCCATTGGGTACATGATTTGGAAGCATCTATATTGGTGTACAGTTCGGATCTCCAATTCAACATCAACACCTTCATGGAATAACCTCACGGTACTCCATAGCGTTGACGATCAATTTTCGCCAACAAAAAACTGACCGGATTACCTCTCGATTTTCTCTTGGATTACCGGCCGTGCGTGTGTGTGTTTACGTATCAGGAATTGATGGATATGTGTTTGCGTGTATTTACTAAGAATCAAATATGTAAATGACGCCAGGAAATTTATAGTGGTTCACTCTATAAATTTTAGAGCTACATCCACTGTAATCTTGTATTTCTTTGTTTGGGGTAAGTTACAATTTACAATTTTTGTTCTCAGCTAGAGTTTTTTCGAACCTCCCCCTTGCTGGGGGTCTTTCTCCTTTTATATTGGGCTTCCTTCACCCAGGGGATTTCCTTCACAGCTAGAAGCACTCAAGTGCTCTCCTTCGGTAGGCCCAAACGTAGCCCACTAATTAGCACTGTTCACTCAGCTAATTAGTCTTCTATTACGGCTCTGTGCTTCCCCGTAATACTTTCCTGTCCCCTGTGGGAGCGGTCTGACAGCTCGCAATTAATGCTTGCAGACCACCTCCACTTCTGCACGTAACCCGTTATGTCCTCTAAAGGACGTTCCTCTCGTCGTCAGCACTTCTTAGCCCAACCACCTTCTTCGATAGCCCTTTCTGCGGTCGAGAGATCTTCATCCTTTAGCGTCGACGGCGCAATTGGCCGACGCCACAAAGGATCGTCGCCCTAACTTGGACTTCATCCTTGGGCCTTCACAGCGGGGTATGAGGAGTTTGCAAGCGTCAAGGATTCCTTGCTTGATGGGGGGATTAATCAATGCCACGTGTCGCGGTATACTTTGCCCACGCGTCCGCCACATTTTCCCACACAACAGCTACCCCCAGGTCGAGGGCGCCTTTTGGGTGGCCTCAGACTTAGGTTCGGTTGCCCTTCTGTGCTTTGGGTGTGGGAAATCGGTCCCGAGCCTCCGTTTGCAATGATGGCCTGGGACCTTCGAATATCCTTTGGGGAACGCAACCGTCGCGTCGACTGATTTCTCATGATAACGTACGGTCTTTATTTCAAAAGAACGAATATGGGCCTTTGGATCGCGACCTCTCTGCTTCCCGCCCTACCTCATCACCGTCAGATCTGGGCAGGTTTCCCTGGCCATCGGATCTTTAAGATTTTCATCTGACGGTCAGGGTCGAGGATGCCCGTCCCTTTAAATACCCTCTACGAACTCGAGAGCCATTTTTTTCAAAACTCCAAGTTTTTCTTTCGCATCTGTTGGACCGCCGCCTTCTCCGACGGACTCCTTCCTCTCCAACCTCCGGACCGTGCTTTATGCCCTTTCGAGGCGTACCGCGCAGCCGCTTTTCCTTCCAGACTTTCCCGGGAGTCCTTCTTCTCCGGTAAGCCTTTTCGCCATCTATATGCTGCTTTTATACATAGGCTCCTTCTATCTTTCTGTTTGAACTTTGTGTATATAGCTAAAGAATGTGTGGGATGTAGAAACTAGGGAGACTTACTTCGTTTCGTGTTTTCGCTTTAGATATCGTCTTCTTGTTGTCTGTGTGCTTCCGGCTTCTGGGTTCTGGGCCTGGAATCCTATGAGCACTCGCCGTTACCATTCTCGTATGAATGGTCGGTGTCAAGTCGTGGCGTTTGAGTTGTCGTAGCTTAGAATAGTTGTCCTTTCATCCTTTCGACGTCAGGGTTTTAACTTAGGTTCATTATATTATTTTGCTTCACCACTATCACCATATTTGGCATAACAGCACAAGCTTTAATAAAAAAATCATGCTCAACATTAACAATTGACGAAGGATTTACAGACCCATTCACAATTCCACCAATAATCAACCAACTAAGAGGTGAAACAAAGATCTTCCAAATATATTTTCAAAAAAGAGGACCTCAAATTACTACAATTATCTCAAAAATATTTGAAGAAACTGAATTGATAACAGCACCACCATAAATATTAACACCTGCAATATCAACTACGAGGTAAAACATATTTACTCATCTTTATTAATTATATATAAAAATATATATTTCTTACTTTAAATACATATTTAAACAATATTTTACAGTCTTAGCCCCCGCTCAAAGAACAACAACATCAATAGATCCACATACACCAACAACAACATCAATAGATCCACATACATCAGACCCCAAAAATCAGCCACCAAGTAATACATATTTATTATTTTACATTATTTATAAATAAAAAGCAATACTTATAATTTATTAACCTTTTATTATTACAGTTCCAAGGACAAAGGAATAGAACAACTAAGAAAACGTCCACTAGGTAACGTAACTACTTTTAAATCTTACTATTTCTAATTTTTTCAATTACTAATACTAATATCTTTTAAAATTTATATTTTACAGTTGAAAAAAAACAGAGGAACAACAACAACAAAGAAGAAGAAAGAGTTATATATATATTGTAAATAACTTTATATGACAATATGTTACACATATATTTTGCATATATATATATATATATTGTAAATAACTTCATATAACAATGTCCTATGTATATATTCATGTATAAATATAAATAAATAATCTATTTCTATTGTATACAAATTATTAACTTTTTTTTGAAATACAAAATTATCTTCTACTGCAATGCGCGCAAATGCGCGCGTCCATGGCTAGTAACATTGAAATGACATTGCAACTTTGCGCAAGTTGAACTGTTGAAGCAAATTTTTGAATTAAAACTACAAAAGAACAATTTTTTTTTTTTTTACCTTTGTTTATCTATTTGTCTCTTGATTTTTCCCCCTAAATAAACTAAGTTTGTAATAGAGTTTAATTCAATTTTTAAAGTTTAGAGTCCGAAAAATTGTGAATTTACATAGTAGTATAATTGATTTTTAATTCCTTCGAGATTTTAAATTTGAGATGTGAGTACTTGAAAACCAAAACTTGGGATATAATTGTAATTCTTGGGGAAATATTATGTAAATATTGTGATTAAAAACATTTTGGGGGTTGCGTGGGGTGGGGTTTGCAATGAAAGTTAGAAAACCATTTTCCTCTTTTTAAAACGCAGAATGAAAGTTAGAAAACCATTTTCTGTTTGTTAGCATCTTTGATCTATTGTTTGTAACTTTGCAAAGATTGTTTGATTACCAAACCACTTTCGCATACTATTTTTGGAAGTGTGGTAACGTATTCTGTGCTAACGTGGTGCATGAATAAGAAAGGACTTGTCTTTGTGATCATATTTAAGCTCTTCGAAATTACTATTGCTGCCTTTATGAGCACCATCTTTCTTGGCAACATTCTTTGGGCTCTTGTCTTTGCTCCTATTTGATCAACTTGTTTGGTATGCCAACCTTTATTAGTCATATTGAGATTATATTATGCGTGTATTATGTTTCTTCTATCAAGAGAAACCAAACAAAATATTAGTAATATTATGCCTCCATGCTACATTATAGTAAGTTATTGTTCTTATTAGAATTACTCTGTATAGTTTAAATTTTTTTTTTTTTTTTTTTTTTTTTTTTTTTTTTTTTTTTTTTTTTCAAGCATTATCTGCTTTAATAATACTTGGTAGGGGTGAACATTAGGTAGGTTGGGTTTTTGAGATTTTTCAACCCATCCAAATTAAATTTGAGTTGGTTGATTTTAAATTAAACCCACTCAATCAACCCAAAGTTTAAAACCAACCCATCCATTTAAAATTTTTATGGGTTGGGTGGGTTATATGAAAAAGAAAAATTAACTTTCAATGTTTTAAAATTCTCTCATAAATTATAAACCAACATAAAAATAAAATATATAAGCTGGAAACAAAAAAACAAATAATAATAGGAACTTATACATCATAAAATATAATAGGTTGCCAAGTAATTAATGTAAAATATAAGACAAAACATAATATCTTAAAAAAATATATATATTTACTTATGTGTATAAAAATAGATAGGGTGAGTTCGCGTTAAGTTAGGTAAGAAAAAGAAACTCAACTCAAACTCGCTTAATTAATAGTCGAATTGAGTATTGAGTTAATCTCTTGATCGGGTTGATCGGGTTCGAGTTATAATAAATTGAGTTGAATGAGTTAATTAGGTTTATCAGTTTTTTTATTCACCCCTATTACTTGGATTATATTTACGTATGAAGTATTTATTTACACACAAACAGAAATGTTAATAAGGTGTTGCCTTTTGTTAGACTTGTATCAAATATAGGATCCATTTTAATACACTATCGAATATTCTGCAACATATTAACTTACGCGAAACTTTTCAAAAAGGTTACACTATTATTTAGAATTAGTACGTTGTCGTTCCTGAACTCGGTCATGAAGTTCTTTAATATCAACATTCAATTTTTAATTAAATAAGATCACCCTAATTATATTCTTTAACCCATTTGATTGATTAACTGACACTCGTTCTTATTACTGATGCGTGTCAACTTAAGTCTCGACATTAATCTTTTGGCCCATTCTATATTGCTCATGTTGGTGTCGTCTCCAATCATGTTGTGAGATTTGAGACTTTATCTAAAATTTTATTGGTAAAATAGTTTTAATTTAATAAAAATATTTAAAAATAAAAAAGCAAGTTTTCCTTTTAGTGCAAAATTTACTTATGATATCATGTCCAGTCACAATAACCACATGAAAAGAGAATTCGAACCTGCATAGTGCATATGCCTTTTATGATTTTTTTGTTTTTTGTTTTTTGTTTTTTTTTTAAATTTGGTGAAGAGTGAATTAGATCAAAAATCAAACAAGTCTTATCATTATCCATCTTCTTCTTCCTCTTTTTTTTATTTATTTTTTAATTTTTAATTTTTTGTAAGTTGAGAATTGCACCACAAGCTTCAAGGCGACAAGCTGTCCGTAATGATGATATTGACAATTGTATTAACCAGGTTGTGTCACAAGAAGCTCACAAGACACAACACAACTCATGCATGGTTGGGACGCGAATTTGAAGAGGATGATGATAAAATCACACACTATAGTAAGAATACATTGCTAAACAACGACAAAATGCAAATAATTGAAAATCGTATAATGGAAACAAAATATTTGCAAAGAGAGATAGGCAGATGGGTGACCTTCAACCGTTTTTTGAACTCTAAAAAAATATTGAGAATCAGTCTTCCATACTTTCTTGTCTGTTACACAGAGAGTAACTTCTTACTTTTAAGATTTAAATTCTCATATCAGTCACTACTTAGAGCAACTCTAATCATACAAATTATTTCATGTTTTTAACTAAAATAACTAATGATTTAGTTTTTTTTAGCTTTTTTCCACTGCAACTATTAACTAAATAGTTAGTTATTTTAGAAAATGCACTCCACACTAACTAAATATAGTTAGCATTGAGTGGCTAGCCATTTCATTTTTAATATTATTTTTTTTTCAATTGTAATAATTGCAAAAGTTCTTTTATAGATTCAATAAATTTATTTATATTTGAAATTTAATAAATATGACAATAATATATATTTAGTTAAAATAGAGAATATGGTTAGATGACTAACTAAAAAGTTGCTAACTATTTTAACTAAAATTTAACTAAAATTTAGAAAGCTTACTTAGATATGCTCTTAGAATGTGAAAAGGGATTATATGTTCCTGTTTGCAAATAAAAACCTAACCTTGTTCTTTTCACAACTCAAGTCATAATTCAAGTTCTATAGCACTTTTCATAACTCAAGGCACAATTCAAATTCTATTGCTTTAGTGTTTTTTTTAACAAAAATTTAAATTCAACTTTTTACTATAGTATTTTTCTTTCACATACACAAATTAAGTTTTTAACATGAGTTGTAAAACAAACAAGTTTTAATCTTTCTTTTTCATTTTCCCTTTCTCATTTGTCTATGTAAAATTGCATTTGATATAATCTAGGACTCGATAAATAGTAGTCATTCTCCTAATTATCAGCCTTGCTATTTTATTGTGCCGAGTATAAATCTAAACTGAGAAAAGAAATTCAGCATCTGAATGATAAATGAATTTATTTGATGAATACGAATTTGTAGGAATACAGGTACAAAAAATTACAATCCCAGGTTTTCAATCAAATTCTCGTCTTTTAAAAAATAAAATAAAATTACACATTTTTCTGCTCGACATTTATTCTCCTGAGAGTTACTAATTCATATATCTGAAAACCAACTGATTTGCTCTCTCTCATGGTCAAGCAAGGAATAGAGCTTCACACTGCTCAGCTGTGTCGTCAGGGCTAGTAACTGCCAAAATTACAAAATAAAAATAAATTACAGTTTTAATCATAGCGGTTCACATCCTATTTCAAGACTTTTTTTACTTGATTATAGCAACCAAAAGGCGTGTGTTTTTTTCTAGTTGTAGTTTGTTCATGTTAATTAATGTGATGATGTAGGAAAGCGGAAAGTTAACGGGGAGAAAAACAACTTTTGCACCAAGCATAATTAAAACTGTAAACTGATATGTAGTTTGAAGCACTTGCAAAATTTTAAGTAGAATCATATTGAGTGCGAGATAATCTCGAGAAAGAAACTCTTTTTAACTTTTTTGACACGGACATTAAAATACGGGGAAACTTTCTGTGCTTCGTTGCCACTAATTCTCTTCTCTTATTCTTTTAGTCGAGACTTTTTTATTCGCATTACTTCTTACATCCCTTAAAACGTCTAACCTAAACCTATAAAAGAAGTCTTCATGGCTTACCTGTGTGACCTACGGTTTGCTCTGATTCATAAATTTCATGGTCATTTCCACCCTGCATAAGCAATACACAAACGTTCATAAACACGGAAAATGACAGACTTGAAAGAGTGATAGACTACCAAAAGTACTACTAGGAGTCTAGAACCGATATGGACTCACAGACTTCTCAAATTTCTTAACTTATCAACATATATGAGTTCTAATAAGATCATTATTGCAATGTTGAGAATATAGGAATGTTTATTTTCCTTCGTTTTCTGGACGCAAGCTACCACAAAACCAGACTATTTCTCAGAACGATTATTTGCACAAGGCACTTTAACAAGGAAAAGACAATTCAAGCCCCTAATATTTCCAAATAAATTTTACTTACAGACCTAAATTAATGGAATATACAAAACTAAAACATAAAAAACAAACCAACTTAAGAGATAGTTGAAAAGCAAGAACTGAAAATACAATAGCAGGTAAGCAATTAGGTCAAACTAACAACAAAGTATGCCGGAGCAATTGAGCAGTGAAATTGCAGGCTAACCTTGTAAGTTTTATCACCAAAGAAATGGATTTCTTGAAAATCATCAAGGTATCTCAAGCAGTATGTTTTGTCCCAACCTTGAGGGAAGACCTATTTCAAGGAATATGAGCTGAACATAAGTTCTATGCTAGGACTTCCAACCAATTTCACCGCACCTGTGTATGTGCATGCTACAACATATGCGTTTTAGGAAACTAAACTAAGTAGACTGCAACTGTTACTCACATCGAAGCTAATTTGACCTCCTATGGAAAATGTCAAGTTAAGATGAGCAAACCTCTCTCTGAGCACAGAAACCATTTTGGGGCGTATATTGTGAACCTGAAACCAATCACATTTTACAAGTTGTAGGAAAGTAATAGATGGTAAATCTGTAACTTTTCTCTCTCTTCTTTCGGCCTCAAGAGAAAAAAATATTTTACCTTATCATATCTTTCAAATTCATCCCTTTCTTCTTGGCTACAGTTTCGCCCAATTGGTGAAACATTGATCATCCCACTTCGAAACTCTATAAATGTTCCCCTAGCGTAAAAGAAGGGAAATAAATGACTTTTACCAAGTTTATTATGGATGTAAATTGAATCTGGCTATCCATCTACTAACCTCTTTATTGGGATATCCAAATCGGCAATATAATGAAGTGTAAAATTGATAAGCTCCTGCATAGTATTTTCAATAAATCATGAACAACGGATACATATTAAGTATATAATATGCTATTTGTGAGCCTATGATACAAGTCCAAACATAAAGATGCCACAGGCTACCACCATTCCAACATGTTCATGATCTTAGAAAACTACAAATTATAAATATTAAATACACTGGTCCCACTATTCATCAACAATCAACAACTGATGGTTTGGAATTGAAGACTTTGAAGGAAATAATCTCTTCTTTTTCTTATTATGATTGGAAATAAGTACACGGTATATATACAGCCTCTACTCAGCTAAATACAGAAATTACCTCCTAAAAATCAGCAACACTAAATCAGACTAAAACTAATTAGGGAATCCCGCTCCTATAGGTTTCCTGATTTCCTAATATTTACAAAAGTAGAAAACTAACTCCTAACTTTGAGGAACTAAATATTCGACACTCCCCCTCAAGTTGGATTGTACATGTTGTACATGCCCAACTTGCTACACAATCTCTCAAAGTTAGGTCCTTGAAGGGCCTTCGTGAGGATATTTGCACACTGCTCCTGAGTTGGAGTGTATATTACTTGCACTTCAGAATTTTTTATCTTCTCTGCAATGAAATGTCTATCAATCGTAACATGCTTGGTTCGATCATGATGGACTGGATCCTTTGCAATACTGATGGCTGCTTGGTTGTCACACTTGAGCTTCACAGTCTTTCCAAACTCCATACCCAGCTCTTCCATTACTCGCCTGATCCATATTCCTTCACAAATCGTGATTGCAAGTGCCCTTAGTTCTGATTCGGCACTACTCCTGGAGACAACAGACTGTTTTTTACTTCGCCATGTCACGAGGTTTCCCCATACAAAGGAGCAATAACCTGTAGTTGATCTGCTATCTATCTGACTTCCTGCCCAGTCTGCATCTGAGTATAGGATTACATCTCGATAGTCAGTTTTCCTAAACAATAACCCCTTTCCAGGAGTCCTCTTTAGGTACCTGAGGATTTGGTGCACTGCTTCCGTGTGTTCTTCCATCGGATTGTTCATGAACTGACTGACTGTGCTTACTGCAAACCCAATGTCTGGCCGAGTATGGGAAAGGTAAATGAGTTTCTCTACCAGACGTTGGTATCTCCCTTTATCTACAAGAACTCTTTCTTCACGCCCGAGCTTTTTCTTGGAGTCCATTGGAGTGCTAGCTGGCCTACAACCAAGCATACCAGTTTCCTTTAGTAAGTCTAAGGTGTATTTACGTTGTGAAACAAATATACCTTCCTTTGATCGAGCCACTTCCATTCCTAGAAAGTATCGAAGAGGACCAAGATCTTTGACTTCAAATTCTTCAGCCAATGCCTGTTTGATCTGTGCTATTTCTTCCACATCATTCCCAGTTAGAATGATATCGTCCACATAGACAATAAGAATGGCCAACTTGTTCACTGAGGAACGCTTCACAAACAACGTGTGATCAGCTTGACACTAGATAAAACCGTGTCCTTTTACTGACTTTGAGAACCGACCAAACCATGCTCTAGGAGATTGCTTCAGCCCATAAAGAGACTTCAACAGTTTACACACCTTTCTACTGCCATAACTTGTTTGAATTCCGGATGGAATCTCCATGTAGACTTCTTCTTCAAGATTTCCGTTTAAGAATGCATTCTTGATGTCCAGTTGGTGGAGTGACCAATCTAAATTTGCAGCCAAGGATAGGAGTATCCGGATAGTATTAAGTTTCGCAACCGGAGCGAACGTCTCTTGATAGTCAATTCCATAGGATTGTGTGAAACCCCTAGCAACCAGCCGTGCCTTAAGCCTCTCAATACTTCCATCTGCCTTGTGCTTCACCGTGAATACCCATTTGCAGCTTAGGGGATGTTTGGTACCTAGATTCATTTCCTGATTCGAATCATGGTTCGTGGTTCGCTACAGTATTTTCTCTCACAAAAAATACACGTAATCAAAAATGGTTCTAATCACATGGTTCTAATCCATGAACCAAACGTCTCCTTACTTCTTTCTTTCCTGGTGGAAGTTCCGTAATAATCCATGTACCATTTCTTTCCAATGCACTAATCTCCTCTTGAACTGCTTGTTTCCAACCTTGATGATTAAGGGCCTCTTGAATATTAGATGGAGTTTGGACTTCGTCCACTCTTGAGAGGAATGCTTGGTAAGTCCCTGAAAGTTTTGCATAGGAAAGATAATCTTTAATCGAATGTTGAGTGCATGTCCGAGTACCTTTCCTCAGGGCAATAGGCAGCTCTAGGTCTCTTTATGTTTGAATCTCCTCTTGCTCTTGATCCTTCTTCCCTCCTGTATGAGTTTCTGCAGTTGTTGGATCCGCTTTAGAATCTTGGATAGGTGTGAGATGTGCTATGGATTCAACCTTTCCCTGAGCTTGCCTCCGCTTTCTTGAAAAAACCAGTAATTCCTTAGTTGCTGCTTGAGGCTGAGGCACGGGTGAAGATGGCAGGTTAGAAGCAGGAGAAACCGACTCACTAGCTGGACTTAAAGAATGAGGGTGAAGGATGGACTGACTCGGAATAGATTCAGAGTTTGGTGGTGGCTGAAGACTCGGGATAAGTAGGGAATCCCAACTCCAAGGCTGAAACTCTGTTGTAGTCTCCCCCTGAATTTTAGTCTTGGAAAAATAAGGGTTATTTTCAAGAAATGTGACATCCATGGTGTCAAACACCCTCCGAGTAGTAGGACAGTAACATTTGTACCCCTTTTTATTTGTAGAGTAACCAATGAAGACACACTTTGTAGACCGTGGATCAAGCTTGCTTCTATTTTGTGGGTAGACATGGACAAATGCCGAGCATCCAAACACCCTTAAGGGCAGATTGGAAGACAGAAACTGGGCATGAGGGAATAAATTAATAAGGACTTGACGAGATGTTTGAAACTGAAGGACTCTAGATGGTAATCTGTTGATGAGATATGCCGAAGTAAGAATGGCTTCCCCCCATAGGTATTTTGGTACGGTGGTGGAAAACATAATCGAGTGGGCCACTTCTAATAACTGTCTATTTTTTCTCTCCGCTACCCCATTTTGTTGTGGGGTATTGACACATGAACTCACTTGGACTATCCCTTGTTTAGACAAGTATTCTCCCAGGACAGAGTAGAAATATTCCCTAGCATTGTCAGACTTTAGGATTTGGATTTTGGTACCAAATTGAGTTTGAACCATTGAATTGAATGCTTGAAAAATTCTTTCAACTTCAGATTTTTCTTTCATAAGGAATACCCACGTAAGTCTCGTATGATCGTCAAGAAAAATCACAAACCACCGTGCTCCATTAATGTTTTTAACTCTTGAAGGTCCCCAAATATCACTGTGAATAAGGGCAAAAGGTTTTGATGGTTGGTAGGGAACCCCTGGATAAACAGATTGGGTATTGTTTGCAAATTAGCATATCTCACAATTGAAAGATTTTGGATTTTTATTGATGAACAAATGAGGAAATAACTTCCCAAGGTACAAGAAATTAGGATGTCCTAACCGATAGTGCCACATCATGATCTCACTATCTTCATTGACACTAGAACTAGAATTAAATTGACTCATAATAGACTGACTAGTAGATAGACTTGTAGAAGCAGCAACTAAGGCATGTCCGAGTTTGCAAGGCTTGAAAAAGTATAGTCTAGAACACATCTCAGCACTGCCAATCTTCCTCTTCGAACCCAACTCCTAAAAAACACACACATTAGAGGAAAAGATGGTTAATCAGTGACTATCACGAGTCAACTTACTGATGGAAATCATATTGCAATCAAGATTAGGAACGTAAAGCACAGATTTGAGAATGATTCCAGGTGTTATTTGAATTGATCCAGTCCTGGCCACTTTAGATAAAGTGCCATCAGCAATCTTCACCGTGAGATTAGAGTGACACGGTTGATAGTCACAAAACATCGTCTCATCTCCTGTCATATGATCCGATACTCCTGAGTCAATAATCCACTGAGTTGAGTGTAATTTACCTGTCTTAGCATGTAAGCTAATGGCTGGTGCAGCAGTAGTGTGCTGAGTTAGGGTGTTGTTCAGCAGTGTTTTTAGCATATCTAGCTATTCCTTGGTGAAGGGGCTGGATTCGGTTGTGCACCGCTGTTCCTCAGTAATACTGGCTGAGTTTGCCCGGCTATCTTGGGCTAATCTGTTTGGCTTCCAATCCGCTGGTTTGCCATGTAACTTCCAACATGTCTCCCTTGTATGACCAGTTTTCGAGCAGTGGTCACACCAAGGGCGCCCTTTCCTTGGCTGGCAATTGTCTATGGATGCTGGAGGTCATGAGTTACGAGCAGCAAAAGCAGATCCCTCTGGGTTTGGCGGTGGTAGCTGGTTACCCAACATTACCTTCTTCCTACTTTCTTCTCGGCGAACTTCTGAAAACGTCTCCCGAAGACTTGGGAGAGGTCTTGTTCCCATTATTCTGCCTCTAACATCATCTAAACTCTTATTCAGCCCCAACAGAAATTTAAATATCCTTTTCTGCTCAACTATCTTACGATATAATACGCTGTCCTCCGGACATTTCCACTCATAAAACTCAAACATATCTAACTGCTACCAATGACGGGTTAGAAAATTAAAGTACTGAGTTACCGGTAATTCTCCTTGACGAAGATCATGAAGAGCTGTCTCCACCGCGAATAGTTCCGACATATTGTCATAACTGGGGTAAGTTTCTCTCACTGCCTCCCATATTTCTTGATCCGTTTCATATAGAAGAAAGTTCTCACCAATATCCACATTCATTGAATTGATGAGCCATGCCATGATCTAATGATTCTCGACCTTCCACTTTTTGTAGGTCGGATCTGTTTTTTCAGGAACTGGGACTTCTCCAGTCAAGTAATCTTCTTTTCCTCTGCCACAGATGAACATCTGGACTGATTGAGACCACTGAAGGTAGTTTTGTCCATTGAGTTTATGATTTGTGATAAGGAGAGATAGGTTTTCAGATGTTCCAGTTTTTCCAGAACTAGATTGGATCGGATTTGGGTTGGAAAGAGAAGAGGTTTCAGAGATGGAACTGGCTGGTTCATTCGCCATTCCAGTTTCTGCCATGAGGGAAGAAACCTGAGATTGCCGGAAAGAAAAAGAGTGACGGCTAGGGTTTTTTTTTTTCCAAGAAACCTGAGATTGCCGGAAAGGAGGAAAAAAAAGATGACGGCTAGGGTTTTTCAGAGTTTCCCTGCTCTGATACCATGTTAGTTTACCAATCCATCCCAAAAGCTTAAGCTGTTAGGAGGAATGTTTGAGCCTACCAGATATAGGGAAAATAAATTGCTACAGCCTTAAACATGTACAAATAATACGCTATTGGACCATTCTTCATTTAAATGATTTGTGTATTTAAAGTGGTATTGCAATGAAAGAACAGAAAGTGAGATAATACCTTGAGCTTCTCGTCTCCAAGAAATGACTTCAAGCTCTAAACAAAGGAAAATATAAAATCATCAACGGAATATATATCATATAGGAAACATGAAAATTATCATGAAGGAAATATGTTTGATTTTGTCATCAAGTGTTGAGATAAAAGTAGAGGTAAGTGACAACCTTTAAGGTGAAAACATTTTCAGGCTCAAATAAAGACTTGAGCACTTTGACGCAGAGAGGAATAAAATTTGCACAACAACAATATGAAAGAAAACTGAACAGAGCACAGATATCAGATGAAAAAGGATTTTTCCAGTAGAATACTCCAAAAGGAAACACAGGTGCTCCTTTCTGTTTTGATTTGTTTTTTTTTTAAAAAAAAAATTACATTAATCACATTCGTAGTAAAAATTTCACTCTAATCAATTTGCCGTCTGCAAAAACTTTCTATCTTTGCAATGAATACCTTTCCCACATGTAGGTTACTAAAAGTAGGATTTTTTTTTTTTTAAATGTTTCTTGTTTTTATCCACTGAAGCGGTAAAAGACCCTGATTTTACGAAGCATATGTTCCAATGATAAAAAATCAACTTATCACAACAATGATTATTGTACCACTACTATGTTCATTTCTAGACTTAAAAGCACTAATTACCCATTACAGTGTGACCGCTTGTTTATACCATGGGACTATTCTCCAAGCTATACCTGGGTTCCAATGAGTTTCCCCTCTCTGTGAGCCACAAGACCATTCTCCGAAAACACATAATCATAATCATCAATAACTGCACAACAATTGATAAAGTTGATTGACTTAGTAATATGAATATAGAAAGTTAAATATTAATGCAGGCATAAAGAACAGTCTCAACTATATCTTTTTGCACCAAAATATATGACATCTAAATCTACAATGTCCCCAGATTCTACTTCACATCTTCAAATGAACCTGATGCCCAAGATCGTATTATAACCTGTACTACATTACTGCATCGTTATCAAGATCATACTTTACCTCTTCCCAGATATTGATAAACACAGACTGCACGTACCACATCCTTATTAAAATTTTATATGAATAAAGTGGAGTTCGTCTCATAACAAGTATAGAAACCTCTGTTCCAACCACTAGAGCTTGAATTCATAGCATGTTGATTCAATTATAGTAACCGACTACTCTGCATTCTCTAACTATGCCAAAATGTCCAAACGGCTAGCGGAAGTACCTGTCTTCCCAAGCTGCTCTGTTATCTTACTAAGGTCAGATCCTCCCACAACACCAACTGTGACGACCTGCGGGCAAAAAATGCCGTCAGTCTCTGAAAAATAAAACTTAACAGGCCCAGCAACAATTCATAATACTCTAAATGATAATATACCTTTCGGAGTTCACGCATAAACTCCAGCATATGTGGTGTAGCCACCTAAAATTTAAGAATAATGCTTAGAATAAGAAAATATTATAACATAAGGAAACACGAATTACATAAACTAAATGAAAGCAAATAATATTGATGCGTAATAATATAAATGAGCAATCTGAGTGGAACAAGGGAACATCAAAGAAACAAACTTTATACCTTTCTTGGAGCAGTGAGAGTTCCATCAACATCAAATAAAGCAATCACACCAGGCTTCCTCAATGCCATTTGCACTTTTCACAATTTTTCTACAGCGAAACACACAATGCAAGATGACATCAACACTAAACATAAGTTTATAAGCATTGATTTGTAGCATGTAAAAGTGGGAAATTTCAACTGAAAACTTGAAGCAGCAGACTTAGTACATACGATCATACAGAATTCCAGATCGTTTTTTGCTAAAGGGGAAAATAGATTTGAGGATTGATTTTTTTATTAAAAAAATGCAAGCAAGCACGGCCAACAATTCTCCAAGCTATACAGAGAGTTTTCAGATATGATCAGGAAAAAGTAAATAAATTGGATTTCAAAAAAAAAAAAGATTCGGAAAACGAAGTGAAGAAAATAAACAAGGAAAAATTTCATGGTACTCAATATTTTAGTGTAATCGTCTTTTAGTACCATAAATTTTAGGTACCTGTACTTTTAGGAAATTGTTTTTTTTACCTTAAACCGTTTTTTAAAATGTCAAATGTTATTTTTACCCCCTTCATTTATTAAATAGAAACCAATAATTAAAAACATTAAAAAATATAAAAAAAACTCTCAATCTCTCTTCTCTCTCTACAATAAATCTCTAGGACACGGATGAATCTGAACCGCAAAGCACAAGACAGATCTGAAACAAAATCAGATTAAAATTAGATCGCCCGGAAAAAAAAAATATCAAAATCAAGTCGAAAAACACCAAGAAAAGCAATAACATCAGAAACACCAATAACCCAAAAAAAGTAAAATCCACGATTCTTTCAGCAAGCTCATGGAGAACGGATTCTTTCAGCAGTCTCATCTTCCTTCTCACCAAAAACCCAGAGCTGCAAATTATTAAATCTGGAAAATCAAATAGAAAATCTGGAAATGTTAAATCTACAAAGATGAAACCTGTTTGGGTCGCCGCAGTTCGGCGGCGGGGATGGGTTCGGGGCTGGGCGGGGTCGCGACGGCGGTAGAGAATGATGTTTAGAGTCGCGCGGGTGGGGTCGAGGTTGAGACAGGATTGCACCGGGGCTGGGCGGGGTCACGATGGCTGCAGAGGATAGGGGTCGGGGTCGCGCAGGTAGGGTCGGGGTCGCAACGGGGCTGCGCCGGGGCTGGGTTTGGGGCCGGGCAGGGTCACGATGGCAGCAGGTGGGGTCGGGCTCGCCGGTGGCTGGGAGTTATTCGAGAGAGAAAGAGAGGAGAGAGAGAGAGAGAGTTGGTTGAGACTTGAGAGCGAAAAGACAGAAGTTTATTTTTATTTTTATTTCAAGCTTTTTCTTTTTTTTTTTTAAACCAATATGATATTTTCCCAATAAACAATGAGCTATGATTAGTTTGTACCAAATGTGTGATCAACTCCAAGTTCCATTGTGAAATTTTAATCCCTTAATGAGTTACGAAAACAAGAGCAACACATTAAAAGGAAAATGCAGAACAGAACACAGATAATGATTTGTCGTTCAAACTTTGGCACGAATTGACGGAAACCAAACAGATGAATAGAAAAATGAAATGGGAAGAAATTAAGAGAGATAATACAACAAGGTAAAAGTCGAAATTTGGATTTACCTTTGTTTGAATAATGAAAGGGAAAGCTCCGCAAATAATGGAGCACAGAAATTGAAGCAGATCTTCTTCAATGGCTGAAGCTGGGGGGAGCGCCAAAGGAGATATATACAAGTTGCTGAGGTCTGAGGAGTGAGTATAGAAAGAGTAACAGTTCAGAAACGAACAAAATAAAACAAATACGTAAATATGTGAACAAAAAGTCGACTTTACCCCTCGTACACTAAAAAAAAGACCAAAGTCGCCAGAACAGCTTCGCCAGTGCCCGGGCCGTCATGTAGATTGAGATTGCCAATCAGTGACGGATCTCGATCGACAGCGGTTTTTTGTTGAGACGGACGACAACTATTGGCCTTCTCTTCAGTTCGTCTCGGGGAAGCGGCGACGATCGAGGAGAGAAGCCTCGGGTAATCTAAACTTTCACGAGCTCGGGATTTCAGCTTCATGATCTCTTGAGAGAAGATTGTCGCCGGTAATGAGAAAAGTGGGCGGCAGCAGAGAGGGGAGAGAGGAGAAAATACGTGGACAACTAAAAAGATTTAGAATCATTTTCGATTTACGTGTATTTTTTGTGAGAGAAAATACTGTAGCGAACTACGAATCATGATTCGAATCAGGGAACGAATCCATCTACCAAACATCACCTAAATGTGAGGTAAGTTTGTTTTACTGTTTCATTTAGGGTTATTTTGGTAATTTAAATTTAAATTTGAAATAAATAATATGTTTTTTTTTATTGGAGGTTCCTCTTATGTATGGAGATTTGTGCAAATACGTGGACAACCAAAAAGAGTAAGCGAATACCTTAAAAAAACAAAAAAAAAAACATTTAAAGTAAACCTGCATAAGAGCTCTGTTCCAGAATAAGCATGACGCAAGCCTCCGTCTATGTATACAGGTTGCCTGTAAATGGTATATAAATGATATATCCTACTTTCATACCATAGTAATTGAAGAAAATAATTTAATTTCAATTAAAAGAAGGGAAAGGAAGGATTTGGGTAGGGATGCGGGCATAAAGGTACGTTTGAACGACTAAGGTTTATGGGTGGAGTCCGTCCCATCTCTGAAGACGAGGGAAAGGTATCGAGATTTAGCGTAGAATGAAAGCGCGGGATACAAGGGTAGGGCAGTACCTAAGCATCAGGAGATGTGAGAGACCTCGCTTGAAGAAGCTTATTATGTGTGAAAATCACGTCACGCCACCGTCTTTGGGAACTGGACCTCCTCATCGAAAAGATGATCTGCCTACTTCCCATCGTGAATAGAGGCTCTGCACCGTCGGAAGGCGTATTTCACATAAGGCGCCTACACACCGCACCATAAGGAATAGAGTTCCGCATCGGGAAGCCTGCTCCTCGGGCTGTTCGGTACTTTATATGCTTGCCGCGGATAAAGACTACTTTCCTATTCGCTTGCCTGCGCGCCTCTACTCATGCGGGACCTCCCCCCGAGAATGGAAGTGCCGCCGCCTCATGTGGCTTACACAATGCGAAGTGACGCTTCGCTAGCATCGGGATTGACGAGACAAAGGCAGTCTTGCATTATTAGCATTGACTCTTGCGAAGAAAGAACCTAAGGAACAAGGAAGGTGGAGAATCAAAAGATTCAACAGATGACCAATTGTTGATCCGAGAAGCTGGCCATCCCTAGCTGCACCTGCCCATCGGAGAGACTGGAAAAAAGACCAAAATGAAAAAAAAATAATTAAGTTTTAAGGGGAAAAACCAAAACAAAAAAGAAATAACAGATTTTCAGCACGAAAATTTTAAAAAAAGGTCAAAAAAGATCAAAATGTAGAAATAAGTAAGTGTTAGGGCAAAATGAACTAAAACGAAAAAAAAAAAAAATTTCAGGGAAAAGTAAAAAAAAAATGGCGGAAAAAGGTCTAAAAATGAAGAAATAAATAAGTATTAGGGTGAAAGGACCCGAAACAAAAAATAAAATAAAATTTCAAGGCAAAAGTGAAAAAAGGGTGAAGAAATGACCAAAATGAAGAAATAAATAAGTGATGTGGTAAAAAAACCAAAACAAAAAGTAAAATGAATTCTTGGAAAAAATTTTAAGAAAAGATCAAATCAAGAAATAAATAAGTTTTATAGCAAAAGGAACCAAAATGGAAAAAAATAAAGTCTCAAGGTAAAAATAAAAAAAAGGGTTAAAAAAGACCAAAATAAAGGAATAAATAAGTCTTAGGGTGAAAGTAAAATGAAATCAAAATGAAGAAATAAAGATTCAGGTAAAAAGTAAAAAAAAAAAAAAAGGGAAAAAACACCAAAATGAAAAAAAAATTAAGTTTTAAGGGGAAAACCCAAAACAAAAAAGAAGTAACAGAATTTTAGCATGAAAATTTTTAAAAAAAATGTCAAAAAAGATCAAAACATAGAAATAAATAAGTTTTAGAGCAAAAGAAACTAAAACGAAAAAAAATAAAATCTCAAGTAAAAATAGAAAAGGGTCAAAAAGACCAAAATGAAAAAAAAAAATTAATGTAAAAAATGAAAAGTAAAATAAAATTTTAGGATAAAAATTTAAACAATGGTAAAAAAAAGACCAAAATGAAGAAATAAATAAATTTTAGAGTAAAAAAAGAAAAGGAAAATAAAATGATAGGAAAAAATTTTAAAAAGAATAAAAAGGACTAAAAGAAAAGAGTAAATAAGTTTAGGGTAAACACCAAAAAGTAAAAGAAAAATAAAAAGGAAGGATACTTAAAAGAAAAGGGGGTTTCCAAAATGGCGAAATGCACCCAACAATAAAGCGCTTTCAAATTTCTATATGTGTAGATCATAAGTACACGCTAAGAATAAATAAGAGAAAATTATTGAACTTATCTTTAAAAGTATATGGGTTTGAGTTTTTACTTTTTATTTTTGATTAGTACCCTTTAATTGATATATTTATTTGACTAAAAAGACATTAATCAAGAATAATGGGTGAAATCAAGAATCGTACCCTTATAAAAGATATTTGTCAAAATTTCTCTGAGAATAATAATAATAATAATAATAAATCGTCAACGACGTCTAGCTAAAAAAAATCAACATGGGATTTGTTATTATGTGAATAAGTATGTTTTTGTTCAGAATTTTCTCATCAACATGAGTTTTACATGTAAATTTGGGGAGTCTTTACGTTGAAATAAGCTATTTTCTCTACGGTTAGAGACTGTATTTTTATTATTAGATTAATTTTTAATGGTCATATTTACAGAAGGAGTAATTCTGCGTGGTACGCTTTAAATTTTTAATGTGGACCTATGGACCAATAAAAAATTAATTAAACGGTTAAAAATAACTCTCTATCGGTAGAGTAAAATAACTTGTTCTACCGTACCGATTCCCCTAGATTTATTATTAGTAGAATTATACTATTTGCACGATTATTTGAATTTGATTCAACAATAAAAAAAAAAAGAATTATCGGATTTTGTTGCCCTACAAGATGCAAAAAGATCATTGGATTTTATTTCCTTATGTTTAGTGTTGCTGTGTTGAAACGTCTTTTTCTCCATTAACAAACCCAGACTTAAACGAGAGAGAGAGAGAGAGAGAGAGAGAGAGAGACCTTAGAGGCTTAGATTCCACTTAACTTCATTTTGGCGAAAGATGAATGCCTCGTTCATTTCACCGATTTGAGTTTAAAATTTGAGTTTTACTACAGTAAAAAGTTCATAGAAACAGTCACATCTAACTTTTTTGTTACAGTAAAGAACTCTTACATAAAGTCACATCTTAACTCAAATTAAAAACTCAAATCATCAAACTAAACGGGCCTAAACTTTCAATTGTTGATTGCGGCTATTATTTACATTTTCCAAGTTATAGAAGTTTCACTAGCAAATGCTCACAAAATTAAAACATATATATAACATTTTTCATATCTTACAATAACTTGATCATTTTTCAAGATGAGAATTTTATAGCATGGTATGAAAAGTCTCCCTTTCTTTCTCTTCTTTCTTTTTTATCCCTTCGACGGCCAGAGATATTTTTTTATTTTAGAAAGATTGCCAAAAAAGAAAGAAAGAATCTAAATAAAGGCGCATATGCGGGAAGGGGGCCCCACTACTTCTTCATTCAGGGGGGGAGACTAGCCTCATTACTTCCCACTGGCAGAAACAAATCGAGCTTCAAATCGAGATCCCTTTATTTATAGTTCTTGCATTAACCGGTCTGGTAGGGGCCCCAACACCCATCGTGAACGTAGTTCATTGCTCGGGCAAGGGATATACGAATATACTGACTGAACGAAGTGAATACCTTATTCAATGATTTTCCTAGAACCATCAGATCCGCTGAGATGCCGAAAACACCTACTGAGATGAGAGTTCCTGTTCGTCTATTCGGGACGGGCAGGCAGCCCACATACATGAAGAGAAGAAGAGAGGGGGGGTTCCTTGATATTAAGGTGTCAAGGCGGTCGAAGAAGGCCACAAGTGGAAGCAACCGATGCTTTGGTCATTCAGTTGACTCGAAAAAAAAGTTATTTTTAACTCATATTTATATTAGAAATTATTTGTTTTACACAGTTTTTTTATGCTATTTGATTTTAACCAGATATAACAGTCAGAAACTAGCCCAGTAAAGAAATTCTACGAAGAAAGACCATTTTGTATATTTATTTAATTTGATGTGATTTTAACTAAAAGTAACATTTAGAAACCTACATTATGCTAGAGTATATGCTACAATGTAAAAGCTCCTCATTATTGATTTAAACTTGTAAAAGTTCTGAGAACGTCTTTATGTACATCTCCTTGTTTGGAATTGGTCATTCTCTTCTAGTATAGATAGATAT